GAATTTTATAGGAAATTTGAAGGATTATGATTCATAGTATTATCACTTCTGTAAGTTGGTTACTCGATCACTCCCTCTGTAAAAAAATATAAAAACGTTTAGGTCATTAGTAAATGATCTAAACACTCATATTTTTTTTACGAAGGGAGTACAAAATTGCATTGAAGGATTTATTAGCTTTCTGCCTCTGGACATTGAGATTGTTAGGAGTGTGAGACTCTCTTGCCGTGCACTGTGGGTATTTGAGGGAGACACGGGGACTGCAGGTGCCCTTGTAGCATTCATACTTCACTTTGGACGTTGAGATTGTTAGGAGTGTGAGACTCTCTTGCCGTGCACTGTGGGTATTTGAGGGAGACACGGGGACTGCAGGTGCCCTTGTAGCATTCATACTTCACTTTGGCACAAGTTAGGGAGAGGGCAAAACAGTATACTCCCTCCTTTCATCTATATAGGGTCTAATGTATTTTTCAAGATAGTCTTTGATTATTGACAAGATTAATAGCATATGAGATGTAGACTATAAAAATTATATTATTGAAAGTTCCTTTGTCATACGAATTTGAAGGTATGCTTCGTGTAAGTTGCATGTCATATATTATTGCTTTAAAGTTTGGTCAAAGTTAACATCGAAAAACGCATTAGACTCTATATAGATGGAAAGAGGGAGTATATTGCTCTGTGTGACGGGCGGTGCTATACACCGCTCACTGCGCGAAAATGATCCGTTCGCCTTTAGCGAAACCCGGCATCAACGGCCCCTGGGGCGATTTTTCTTTTGGTTTCTTTTGGTGCAGTTTATCAGTTTATTATTTCCTCTGTAAAGATTTATAAGAGCCGCTAGAACACTAGAATAGTGATCTAAATGTTTTTATGTTTATTTACGGGGGGAGTATTTTGAAACTGGGTTTTATCTAGCCTTTTGTGTTTTCTTATCCCTTCTTTTTTATATTATATATTTTTAAAAATTACAATAATAAATTGAAATGCATGAACATTTTTCTAATTGCACAAGCATTTATAAAACACATGGCACTTTTTAATTGCATGATCAATTTTTAAAAACATTGACCTATTTTATTTTATTCCAAGTATAATGTTTAGAACATTTTGATGTATATATATGGAAAAATAAAAACAAACCTTTATTTCGGTTTTTATTTTTTGAAAGAAATCACACTAGTTGAATCTGGCCCATGTGGCTAGCGCAATGGGAGATAATCAACAACATTCCTTGCTATGAGGGGAGCAACTAATTAAGGGGTATCTCTTAGAGGGCTCCCATAACAGTTACTCCCTCCGTTCCAAATTACTTGTCGCAAGTATGGATGTATCTAGATGTATTTTAGTTTTAGATACATCCATTTCTGCACGAGTAATTTGGAACGGAGGGAGTGCTTTCTTGGGCATGGGAGCGCGCCAAGTGATCCGTTTAGTTGCCGTTACGTGTTGTGCGTTGGACAAACCCTTGAGATTTTTTTTCTTGCACATCATTTTTTTGGCTTTTCCGCCTTTGCTTGGTTCTCCCTAGGTTTTGGTGGTTTTCTTTTAGGCGGTGCTTTTTCGTGTGACTTCGCGTATTAGATTTGTCAGAAGTCAAACTCTTCAAAGTTTGACCAAGTTTACATAAAAAATTATTAACATTCATGGTACAAAATCAATATAATTAGAACTGTCATGAAATATTTTATGTATTTGGTATTCAAGATGTTGATGATTCATAATATAAATTTGGTCAGACTTTACAAAGTTTGAATTTAAAATAAATCTAATATCGCAAAGGTGTGATAGCTCCCAGGTGCCCCTACACCCTAATGAACAGTAAATTAAAAAAACTGAAACTTTGGGACATCAAATATGATAAAACATTTGATGTTCTGGAAAAGTTTCAGCCACAAATAACATTCCCTCACAAAAAAATCATTGTTCAAAGTTTATGTGCACTTTTTGAGCAATGTTTTTTTTGTGAGGGCTCCTCGAATTTTATTTGTAGCTGAAACTTTGCGAAAACATCAAACGTTTGATCATGTTTGATGTCCCAAAATTTCATTTTTTTATTATTTGCTGTTCATGGAGGGTGTGCGGGCACCCTGGTGTTGAAAGGCATGTCTCATCTAATGTAGTAAAAATAAATGGAGGGGGTACATTCAAATATGAATTCAACAATATAATTTTTAGCGACATGCATTAACATTTTGCTAGACAAATAGGTGGTCAAAATTTGACGCACTATACAAAGATAAACCCAACCAGAGGCAGCAGTAGATATAGAAGGAGAAGGCCTACATGTGAGGGAAATAATGACGAAAAGAGTTCAAAGATAGCCTACAAAAGGTTACCTCAACAGAGTTCAAAGATAATCTTTGGAGCATCAAAATTCATTTGGAACTTAAAAACTTTCTTCTAAGGCTGGCTCAACATTCTATACACGACAATATGTCGACGACGAGCGCCTGCTGCCTTTGTGGGGCAGAGGATACATGGAGGCACGGCTTGCTAAGCTGCTATATGGCAAGAAATACTTGGGCCCTCTCAATGGAACCAATACTAAAGCTGTTGTGTGTTAACAAGGACGACAATGTAAAAAGTGGTTGTTTGCCATCCACGAGAAAGCGATCCATGAGAAAAAATATCAAAGTCCGTTTCCTATCCATGGCTTGGTGCAGTCATACCTTGGCGAGCTAAAGGCCATTCATATTCCTAGATGGCATGTGTCTCGTTTATCATCGAACATACCAATAACATGGATCGCCTCTTCGGCGGATCTTATGAAAGTTAACGTCGATGTCGCAGTTGGTAGAGGAGCCTCACATGAAGGTGTGGGTGAGGTTTGCTAGGATCAAACATATATGTTTTTGGGTGCATCATCTAATGGTTTTCCAAAACATATCCGATCCAGCTATACTCGAATCTCTTGTTATCAGGGAGGCCTTGGCTTTCGCGGATGATCTTTATGAAAGGAAGATACATGTGACGTCCACCTGCCAGGGCCGGCCCTAGCAATTCTGAGGCCCTAGTGCAAGTTTGCAACCGAACAAATCCATTTGATAACAAAGAGAGAGATTAAGGTGGTGATACACCTAAAAAAATCATTAAATTAGCAACGTTGGGCCCCTGCCTTCTTTGAGACTTGTGGTAATCCATGTGGGGATGAAAGTAGGGAAAGAAAGAAGAAAGAACGAAGAATATAAGATATGCGTCCGTGCGTTTTTTTAGAGAAAAAGTATCACGCCTGGCTCTGTAGTATATACACAGAACATAAGAATATAAGATATGGGCCCCTCCCCTGGCTGGGCCTTAGGCAGTCGCACTCTTTGCCTAGACCTAGGGCCGGCCCTGCCGCCTGCAAGGTGATCGTGGAAGACATTCAAGAAGAGAGTTCAACTCTCTATGAGGTAATCATACATGAAATCACACACTAAAAGTCTACTTTTGCTACTTGTAATATTATTCGTGAATTTAAGAGCTTGAATATCAAAACTCACAAACTCGCAAAGCACGTTTTATCCTTAAGGACTTTCTTTTTGAATACTTTATCCCTAGGGGCTAGCCACCATGTCTTGTTAGGTCAATCCAATGACTTTTTATTCATTCATTTAAAGGCCACGCTACGCGTCGGCCGGCGTTTTTTTTAAAAGATCCGCCACTTCGATAGTTGTTTGATCCGCGCTATCTAGCGCATGGATCTTTCCTCACCACTGCAACAAAAAGTATTGTTGCATAAACCTTCTTTGCAACAGATCATATGTTGCAGAAACATTTGCAACCGATGTTTTGTTACATAATTATTACTTTTTTGCAACATGGGTGTTGTTGCGAAACGATTTTGCAACACAGATGATGTTGCAGATTATTTTTTGGTCTTAACTTTTTTGCAACATGAGTGTTGTTGCGAAAGGACTTCTGCATCACAGATGATGTTGCAAAGATATGTTAAGGTGGAGAGGCACGCGTCCCACGCGAATTGAGTCAGGAGAATTGGTGGCGTGGCTCTCGATCCAATCTAGATGGAAGACTAGAGGGTCTGGCAACATTTAGCGTGTTGCAGGTGTTTTGCAACACCTACTGTGTTGCATAATGTATGATGTGCATCGTCCGGCGAAACTTGGATCTGATGGTTGCACAAGTGGCGGAACGCTACGCGTATCGGCTGGTTGATTCTAATCGTTTCCCTTCTCGTAAACATCGTGAAGGTGCAATAAAAAGCTTTGGAGTTTGCCTAAATAAAAAGTTTTGGAGTTTGCAATTTTTTTTACCTCAACTACTATCTCCGGCTAGGGCTGCAAACGAGTCGAGGTCGAGCGAGTTGAAGTTGGCTCAGCTCAACTCATATGAAAATTCAAGCGGGCACAAACTGAGTGAAGCTCATGATTGAGCTGTAGAACATGACTCGTGCTTAGCTTGTAACGCTTGCGAGTCGATCTCGAGCTAATTTCAAGCTAAATGAGATGGTAAAAATTATAAATCTATGGATGAAAAACAAAAAAATTAAGATGAATATGCTGGGAACCTTTGTCAAAAATATAAGATATTTAACACATAGTCGACCACGTGTCATAATTAGGCCTAAATCTTCTTTGCATTTAATTAAGTTTTCATCTTCATTGGTAAATAAAATGGAGAAAATATAGACATCATATATGTTAATAAATTATCTTATTTTCATTTAATATATGGCATGATCATTTAACATAATGATATTCTGTCGAGCTATCAAGCTAAAATTGAACAAGCGAGCATTGGCTCAAGATCAGCTCGTTTCTCGGTCGATCTACATAAAGTGTTCAAACTCAGCTCGTTTCTTTTCAAATCGAGTAAGTCGATCTCGAGCAGCTCACAGCCTCGAGCTTCCCTATCTCCAGCTCCCTAGAAAAAAAAACTACCATCTCCATCCACGGCAGTTCGATCCGTCCGTCGCAATGTCTTCTTCATCGCCCTCCTCAGAGGTGAAGGCCTCAACCACTCTGAACTCCTCCGCTCTCTCCTAGAGTTTCCTTCGCATGGACGGGGAGGAGCCTGCCACGGAAATCGAGGCGCTCATCCAGCGGCTGAGGCTCCACCAGCCGCCCCCCTCCCCGCATGCCGGTGATCCATCCACGGCGGCGACCCCCAACGCCGGCGAGCTACTTAAGCCGCGGAGGGCCGCCGTGCTGATCTGCCTCTTCCGGGGCTCCGCCGGGGAGCTCCGCGTCATCCTCACCAAGCGCTCCTCTTCCCTCTCCACTCACTCCGGTGAGCAGCTAGCTTGTTTTTGGTGATTTTTATGCAGATTCTCATGGGTGCGATCAATCCGAATAAGAGGGAATCGTTTTCTCACAATAAAGCCCGGCGTTTCGACTCTTTGTTTTGGATATGGGGAATTAAGCAAACGATTGGATTTCTGGGAGTTCAGTGGAGCAGAAATGTTTCAGAGGATTACTTGCTGTTTTTTTAATCATTAGGGCCTGTTCAGTTAGTGCGAGGGCGCTAGAATGGTTTGATGGATGCTCCCGTGTAGTTCCAGTGTTCTAGTGTTCTTTCGTATTGACTATTGATTCAAGTCTCTTCAATGCTATTTAATTTAGACCAGTATGATTTGCAGAGTGTTGGTGGTTGGTTTTTGATTCACAGACTGCACAATAGCGTTGGGTTTCACAAAAAATATGTCTGCATATCATTGCATTACGAAGACAAAAATATGACATGGTTTCATAAATCATGATGATAGTTTCGAAATGGCCATGCATTCACTTTGTTTTATTTATGTTCAGATACGTCAGACAACCATAAAACAATATACCTTTTGACGCTATTTTAATTATTCATGACTGATTTAAAATATCCGCTAGTTAACTTAGCGTTCTAAAGATTTAGATTGTAAAACTTTATCGAACCACTTAAGGCTTATTAATCTTTGTTCTAAGCTTTTTTTCTTGACAAAAAAAAGGTGAAAAGGAGATGTGACACAAGTTAAATATTTATTGAAAAATTAAGAAAAACACCCCATCAATTCTACCATGATTCGTTATGGATTTCAAGGTGGACCAGGTTGGGCCTTAACTGCTTTGAGCATGTGGGTCAACGTAATCAATGGCCAGATGTCTTGCTTTTCTCTTGGATTTTGTAGGTCATCTCCTATTTTCAGCCATATTTTTGCTTTTAGTAATATAATAGAATAGAATAGGGAATGTATTATCGTGATGTTCGATTGGTCGCTAGGAAGAACATACTTTGGTCACTAATTGGAACAGACGTGCGAGGTGCAATAGAGGCTTACAACTTGTAAAGTTACAAGCAATTTGGGCTCATCTCACGGATGGCTAACCACTGGGGTTTGGTCCTGAAATGAATTAAGCTGAATTTGCGCCTTGATTCTCAGTTTTCTATCTAGCCTGCTTGCAGTTGGCTTGCCATAGCTTTCGAATTTTAGGAGTCAAGGTCACAAATGGGTCGCCAGCTATATAGCTTGACTCAGATATATTCCCGGCTGAGCATACATTTCTTGCCGACCTAGAGAGCTGACTTGTCTCGGAATAAGCTTTGCAGGTGAGCTGACGATGTAGTCTAACCCAGCTCATTTGAGCTTAGTCCGTATCTCCCATACTGGAAAGTGCAAATGAAAAGTAACTTACTCATCATCATAGATGTATGTTTTGCTGCATTTATCAGTGATTTTGTTGCCTTGATACAGGGGAGGTTGCATTGCCAGGCGGAAAAGTTGACGAAGGCGATGCTGATGATGCAGCTACAGCATTGCGGGAAGCAAAGGAGGAGATTGGGATGGATCCATGTCTGGTTACTGTTGTTACCTCTCTCGAGCACTTCTTGTCAAAGGTGCATTGCCTTTTGGTTTTACTTTCTAGTCAACCTAGTAATTGTCTCACATCCAAATAGCCTGTTTCAATGCCTCAGTAACGGGAAATGGAACCTTCTTTTATCTGTCCAACTATTATGGATATGAAATTGTACACAGTTCTTGCAGCCAAACAAACTTGAGTCACATGATCTGCCTATGTCTGTCTTGAGGATCATATGAGGCTGACATGCCTGTTTTTAATTACCGACTTACGTTCTATGAAAAAGTTAAATAGCAAGTGAAGTATTCTTTATGTGGTATAAGGAGTCCACACTCTGCCTCCAAGCGATGCAACCATTGCATACCCGATGATCTAGATTTAGTAAAGTCCTTACACATAGTTTCACCTGCTTAAGTCAACTGCAACCCAAAAAGGTAGGACCAGGCGCTACCCCCCTCCCGGCGACAAAGCCAGGAGGCACAAGAAGCATCAGGAGTTGACGGAAATTGATCCCGAGGAGGACTAGAAGATCTCCAAAAGTCAACTCAAAGTCAAGGGACCAAGCCAGTGGGCTTAGAAATATGAAGTCAGACCCGACCATATGGACGCGGAGCCCTTCTATGCCCAGTACAGTGGTTCGCAGATGAATAGTAGAAGGCCCTCAAATCCCTAGAATACTCCAACAAAGGAGAGGAAGAGAGAAATCTCAAAAGGGCATTTTTGCAATATCAAACACACACACATACACCCACACACACTCTCTCTCTCTCTCGTGCATGAGTAGGCAAAGGGTACAACAACAACAACGAAGCCTTTAGTCCCAAACAAGTTGGGGTAGGCTAAGGTGAAACCCATAAGATCTCGCAATTAACTCATGGTTCTGGCACATGGATAGCAAGCTTCCACGCACCCTTGTCCATGGCTAGTTCTTTGGTGATACTCCAATCCTTCAGATCTCTCTTTACGGACTCCTCCTATGTCAAGTTCAGTCTACCTCGACCTTTCTTGACATTATCTGCACGCTTTAGCCGTCTGCTATGCATTGGAGCTTCTGGAGGCCATCGCTGAGTATGCCCAAACCATCTCAGACGATGTTGGACAAGCTTCTCCTCAATCGATGCTACCCCAACTCTATCTCGTATATCATCATTCCGGACCCGGTCCTTCCTTGTGTGGACACACATCCATCTCAACATGCGCATCTCTGTTGCACCTAACTGTTGAACATGTCGCCTTTTAGTCGGCCAACACTCAGCGGGTCGAATCGCTGTCCTATAGAACCCGCCTTTTAGCTTTTGTGGCCCTCTCGTCACGGAGAACGCCAAAAGCTTGGCGCCGCTTCATCCATCCAACTTTGATTCGATGGTTCGCATCTTCATCGATATCCCCATCCTTCTGCAGCATTGACCCCAAATATCAAAAGGTGTCCTTCTGAGGCACCACCTGCCCATCAAGGCTAACTTCCTCCTCATGCCTAGTAGTATTGAAACCGCACCTCATGTACTCGGTTTTAATTCTACTAAGTCTAAAACCTTTCGATTCCAAGGTTTGTCTCCATAGCTCTAACTTCCTATTGACCCCCGCGACTATCATCGACTAGCACCATATCATCCGCAAAGAGCATACACCATGGGATATCTCCTTGTATATCCCTTATGACCTTATCCATCATCAAAGCAAAAAGATAAGGGCTCAAAGCTGACCCCTGGTGCAGTCCTATTTTAATCGCAAAGTCGTTAGTGTCGCCATAACTTGTTCGAACACTTGTCACAACATTATCGTACATGTCCTTGATGAGAGTAATGTACTTTGTTGGGACTTTGTGTTTCTCCAAGGCTTGCCACATGTCATTTCGCGGTATCTTATCGTAGGCCAATGAACACCATATGCAGGTCCTTCTTTTGCTCCCGGTATCTCTACATAAGTTGTCGTACCAAGAAAATGGCTCCCTATATCTCTCCATGAGTAGTCGAAGGGTGATATGGTGAATAGACACAAGGGTCACTAAAACCCTAAAGGACTATGATAGATGCCACAGGAATATTCCTTCGTAGGATTGCCATCAAGCCCTTAGGGTTAGACAAAAAGCAAGGGCACACTTGTAATAAAATACCAATGGCATACCATGTAATTTCCGCAACTTTTCATGTATAAATAGAGGGCCTCTTAC